ATACACTTCTTCGAAGAAAGTAGTCTACCAAGCACGTAAACTCAAAACTTCAACATATATTTCTCTGCGTTTCCTATTTTAAGAAGTTGCTTCGGAGACTCGTTGGTCAGCTACATGCTGTTTTTCAAAATATTTCCTCCTAGCCGCTAGTCTCATGTGTTCTTTACGATGCTGGAGAATGAGCTCCCTTTCTGAAGAGGACTTTGAAAATCGCCCTCCTAAACTGGAAGGTTCATCGCTGCTGAAATCAATTATTAAACAATATTCGTAAGCAACTAGAACATTCCACGTAAAATGACAAGGAGGACAAACAAGTTCTGTGGATTTATAATAAAGATAAAAGAAGAACGCAATTTACCCGTCAGCAATAGGAATGTCAAATCTTGGATCACTGGGTGATGGCGTTGAAGCGACACTAATTTCACTGGTACTAGTATGAATCTGAGGGACGGACTCCGACTGTGGTTCTTCGATTAAATGATGCGGTGGTATCAGCACTCCATCAAGGATATTTCCAACGGTCCATTCGACTGATCTTGTCACTCGGAGATCTTCCACAATTAAATTACGTGGAAAATGGGGAAACAGTTGCTGTACCTGATTTAACAATGAATAACACCCGTTGATTCGCCTCGCGCTAACAAATTATTCTAAACAAATCTATATTCTCATTGGAGTTCTTCTGGCACATACTTGTCTGATCATAGCATCCATTTGCGAGTTGTTGTGTGCAATAGTGGAAATGTCTCCGCGCAGCCAATTGTGGGAGACCTCCACGGAGAAGCTTGGTAACCAAGAAACGTATCTCGAGCCGTCGAAATGAAAGAAATGATTCTCATTTTGTCTAGCCGGTGTTTGCAGCTCGTTTGGTAGCGCCTGCGTGTTTTCTCGGTGATTCGGTTGCATGCTGAGCGCGAGTCTACACGTTGGACATGACGTGTCCTGCTCTAGCCAAGATTGTAGACAAGAATTATGGAAGAGATGACAACAAGGTAGCTTTCTGGCAGCCTCCATTTTCTCCCAACAAATAGCACAGTTGTCCGAGTTTTCTGCCAGTTCCTCTTGCGTTGCCATTGGGTAGCTAAAGGAACCATTCGAGTTATTTAATTACAACTGTTCAAGATTAGACTCCAGTGAACCTGAATATGTTAGGACAAGGAAAAATAATACTCACTTCTGTTCCATATGATTCAACACAGCTAAGTAATTCCTATGCTTCGTCAACTTGCGTTGGATTTCATAGAAAAGGTACCTAAGCTGCATACAGATCACGAGAGAGGCCATGCTGAGGAATATGTTGCTCCAGAGTAGCATGTGGACATGATGGAAGAAATCCACGGACAGCACTATTAGCTCTGCTACAAGATCAGTGTAATAGGTCAAGGGACCCCGTTTGTCCCACGAACGTTGAGAGGATGTTCCTGCTCCTCTTATATCATACAAATGGATGATATACCTCACCATCACGTGAATTGTTCTCACACCTAATAAGCTGCACTGTTGACGAAAAGAAAAGGTGTCATCAAATTTTGGTACAAAACACAGAGAGTGAGAGATACAGTGCGACAGAAGGAGAGGAAGAGATTGAAACCGTGAAATGTTTGTTACCTCAGCTGCAGTGAACACGAATGTGTTGAAAGAGACAAAGAAGAAGGCTGCAGCTGTGCACAGCAGTAACATGAAAGAAGATAATGCCAGTATTGCAGCCAGTAATCCAAGGAGTCTTGCATGGCTCCAGCCAGGTGTTGTTGGCGAGAAAGACAACTGCAAAATGATCAATTCTGTATTAGCGAATAATAGTAATCATTTACTTTGACTCGTATCAAAATGTATTAGAGTATTGGAGAGATATATATCATTTATAAATGACCATACTTTTAGATAAGTCAGGGGTGACGGTATGGTTTTATACAATTTTATATCATGTACGATGACATGTTTGGGAATTATTCCAGTTTATCCAAGGACATCTGAACATGTTACACGGGTTTAAATTAAACAGCAAGGCAATGCAATAAGTGTAAGGTTTCATTTAACAAGGAAAAACCCAAGGGAATATATTTTCAACTGTAGTATCTCCTAGCAAATAACATCCTGTCTCGCATATTTTTTTCACTAATAAACATTTCTTCATTATCCGTTTATATAATTATTCGTGTCGCAGAAATTGCGACTGCTGTTATGAAAAAGAAAAAAATAGTATGTAATGAGGTGAATCAAGGAAATCCGAACGTCGCATACGACAGGCATAACCTGGTTACCTCTATTCAATTATACTAACGGGATTCACATGAATTCATTACATAACTGAGTCACGAGACTTTTTTGCGTTTATAAAGAAGTCTTGTTTTATCCGATGAACCCTATTCGATTCATATTTAAATGACGGAAATGCATTGTCGATTGTCAACGGATGAACGTGGAAAAATATTTCTCTTTATCTTTCTTATAATCTTCATTTTTCCCACGCTCGGTCTCATACCGAAATACTTAGTTAAATAGGTTGATTTTTTTAGGTGTTACGCCAAGGTCACACATATACATAGAAATCAGTGTTTTCATGAATATGCATGTATTTGTTTATCTTTACTTTAACGTTTCCAATTTTTATGCTACTTTTCCCCAAAAAAATTTTGTCCACGCCTCCCTTTTCAACACGTTGACTGCCATAAAAAGCTGCAGCGTTTTATCTGCCATTTTTTCTTCTGTAACGAAGACACAAAGAAATGATTGTCAATTATTTGGTACTATAATTCTTAAATAATATTGTTATCTATGTATTTATCCTGTCAAATGTTTTCATTGGATGTCAGTTATCTTACGAAGTATAATTGTTTTCAAGCCATTCGGAACCTCCGGTCATCGGTAACTACCGTGGCAGTTGACGTGTTAATAGATATAATAATATAGACACGTTTTAAATAACAACTTGATTACAAAACGAACATTACTTTACTGAATTTCTACTGTTACGATGTGAAGCTTGTTCGTAGATATGCTGTGAACATTAATGTTTTGTTAACCCTTTGAACTCTATGGGCTCCAATATTGAATATTTTAATGAATCTTAAAGAAACTACCCTAAAATTGTTCGATTTTCCACACGTCCAAATGTTGTGCTAACAAGGAAAATAAAAGGTCGAAGAAATGTAGCATTTCTAATTTTTTCTAGGAATACTATAAAAATTGCAGTTGCTGATAGATGACAAAACAACCTGGAGTGCTAAGGGTTAAACATTTCGGCGCCTCCCCTGGAAACCGCGATTTTAATTAATAGCGAGTTTAATTGCTAGTGCTACATTAACGTAACATTTTAGATACGTACAGCACAAATCCAAACTAAAATGACAAAATCGAATTCCTTATTCTTTCTCGCAAGTTACAAATTTCGGTTTGACCCTTCGCACTCAAGAGGCGCGTTTCAGTCATTCAATTTGACTCAGGAAAATGATAAAACTAAAAATTCAGTATTAAATTTTTACATAACGCATCAGCACATGGAACATCGAAGTAAAATCGTTCTGTCAATTCATGCAAGGTATTTCTTTGTTAATTGTAAAAACTATCATCGACATTTCGTTAGAGAATAATGAATATTGAGAAAAATAATTCTTGAGTGCAAAGGGGTTAATCACCGACACTCTCGTTTCTAGTAATTTAGCCGGCGTTCGATGCGTTAACGTAACTCGGGAGAAAATTATTCGGAAAATCCAACGATGCAACGTATTTCCGATTAGTGGGGTACACGTGTCGCTGCGGTGAGCAGTAAATATTTGTTTTTTATGTAACGGTTTCATAACGCTGACTATACACCGTACAGCGTTGTTCGTTAACGGGGCGAGCGTGGGACAGTCCCATTTGCGAATGCAGGAAGCACCGTCGAATAAATAAGCAACGTATCGATTGTGGGCTAGCGTTACGCGTAAATAAAGTATGACGGGGTTACAGTGTGTAACGAAACAATGCAAAAGTAACCGCCGCGTGGCGAATTTCGTAACGCGGAGGAACGCGTGCCAACTGCAACGGCGCGCGGTTCGTTCCGTAACCACCGTTCTAAAATATGTTAAGATATTCGGAATATTTATAAACATGCGCGGGCTTTCGCGAGATGAACCGTATCGGCATGTACACTTGTTCGCAATAATAACCGCGATTCGGCGCCATCAGCATTGGAACTGCCGAGCGTTTAACACTAAAACCACCGAGCATTTAACACGATTAACCCTTTGCACTCGGAAGTTTTTCACTAGAAATATTTTAACATTTCCTGATGAGATAAAATCGATATTTTGTGAAACTAAGTCGACGAGAAATCACGCGATATTTCTCAACCTGATGCGTTGCGTTATAGGAAATATAATATTAAATATCAAATTTTATAGTTTTACTGTATGAAATCAAGTGGTGAGTGAGAGTCACCTCTCGAGTGCAAAGGATTAATATGCAATTCCCATAAAAATTCTAACAATAGATTATTTTCAGTTTCTTCGGACATTCGTTATAGTACACAAATGAAACTATTTATTTTCAAAATCTTTTAAATCTTCTAGTCTAATAAAGTTTCTTTGTAAACGCCGAAAGCGTGGATTTATTTAATTAGAATCGTGAAATTCTAGTGTTAAAGAACTATAGAGCAATGACGGAATTCTTTTGTATTTTCTTATAAAATTTGTGTAAATCTATCGAGATTCAAATTTGCTTGAACTCTCTGAGTCGATCTGAATCGATTTCATGATTTCTCAGAAATTACTATTTAGTTCAACACTAATATAACCCTTTACACTCGGAAGTATTTGCTGGAAATACTGAATAGTTTCTAACTAGAGAAATCATAAGTAGATTTAGAAACAAAGCTTTCTTATTCCAATATCTCACGCCACTGACGTCGTGAGAATTTCTACCGTTCTGAATAGTAATACTTATTCTTTAATAACAAAGGCGAATGATATTGAAAATAATTATTAATGATTTAGTGTTACAGTAGTCGTATTACGCTATGATCTAGCTACTTGATTTTAAATGAAAACATTTAGTAATACAAGTTTTATTGTAATTGTTCTTCAGCAATTTGGAAGCTCCGATCATTAGTGACCACCGTGATCAACGTGTTAAATATTAAATTTTTTAATGCATCAAATCAAGTAGTGATAGTCACCTCTTTATTTGATACAGCAAAACTATGAAGTTGAATGTTTAGTATTTCAAATTAAACTTTGTACTACTGTGTGAAACATTTATATGAAATAACTTTATTGCTTAATTTATCTGTGAATTATTGTCAAAATCAGTTTCAAACAATGTCGACTATATCTCGTCGGAAAATGTTGAATATTTCCAGTCAAAAGCTCTCGAGTGCAAAGGGTTAGTAACAACGAGATGGGTCATTTTGAGTCATCAAAAGTTCAATTAGTTCTAATGCCAGTCGATTAAAAGGATGGAATGAATTTCTTCTTGCCAAGTCAAAAATTCGATGCAACCGAAATATTTAAACGAAATTCACGGTCACGTCGACGTATGTATATTAGGCTCGTTGAATATTTCGATACGCTGCCAAAGGAACCAGATTCTTGGTCTGTCATTAAATTTTTTTGCAGTATCTGATGAATTCTTTAATTTCGACAAATTTTCCAGACTGTCTGCTGTTTCCAACAGCACGCCAGAATGAATATTTTGACGGTCGCCCAGGGGGGTTACGGGTCGAATGATTCAGACGTCTAGTTGACGTAAAAGGTTACAAAACCAGTTTCAAATCGAACCGTTAAGTTTTTCGGTCGATGTTTTCGATCGGATGTAAACAAGATTTCTAAGGAAATATGCGGCAGAACAGAGTGGGCAGAATAATTCGTGGTTAACACATTGTTAGCGAAAGGGGCATTAATTAGCCCATTGCCGCACACTAATTTTAAAATGCCCATAAACGCAGTCTTTTCTTGCAATTGTTTCTTTTGACTTGTTCGGATAATGAAACTAGAACTTACACGTGATCTAGACTGTTACGTTACTTTTATTCACTGTATTACTGAAGAATATACAAACAAATGCGTGCCAATAATGTTTCTTTTTTTATTAACAATTACTATAGTTCACTTAACCACACGATTATTTGAAAACGTTTCTATATCATCAATGCTACCTAATGCGGTGACATTCAGCTAGATGAACGCGCAATAATACAACTAATGATTTAACCCTTTGAACTCTATAGGCTCCAATACTGCACCAGTTATATCAAATATTTTAATGAATCAAAGAACTACCTTAACATTATTAGATTTTCCACCCATTTAAATTGTGTACTGAGAAGGAATGTTATAGCATTCTACATTTTCACTAGAGATACTATAAAAATTAGTCGCAGTTGCTGATAAATTACAAAACCATCTGCAGTGCTAAGGATTAATATACTTTTTCCATTTTCTGCATTTTGCTTTATGAAATGCGGTATTCAACGTCAATGAAAGTAACGGCTATAGCCGTTCGCGGCGACGGGTTAGCGGAAACCAATATGGCGGTTATCAAGTCGGTCTCCGGCAAAGAAATTCTTAACTGCAAATGTCCATTGTTCAAATTTCGTTTAGGAAATCCTCGGTTCTCGAGACCGGTGGAATTCAGCCGTAATCGTCGATAATGTATGCGAGCCGCCACTTAACAGGCAATTAATGGAACCGTGCCGCGCGCGTAAGTTCCACTGGCATCAATTTTCGCGGGGCATTTCTTCCATTCAATGTAACGAGGTTAATTAAATCGAACGCGGCCCGTTCTCGATACGCGCGGGGAACCGATCGGCCGTGGAGGTTAACCGTTTTCGATCGGGATGGAGCCGGGCGAGCGAAGAAAACGTTAAGGGCACTCACGTATTCGAATCGATCCTTGCAAAGCTGGCTGAGAAGACTGAGGAAGCCCAGCGCGGTGAACCATGCCCACCACAGAACCACCTCGTCCATGTACTGTACGTTCAGCACGCCGAACACGAAGATGAACTTATAAAAAACGAAGTTCCAGAACTTGTCCTTGAGGTGTTGCCTCTCGGAGACGTGGAGTTCACCGAACACGAGCTTCTGGATCGTCTTGCCAAGGAGTATCAGCACGCAGTACGCCATGTTGATCAGGGTCTGGAAAAAAGAATTGCTCGTTTCAACGCTAGAACTGCTGAGAAGTCCTGTTAAGGTTTCTGTTGGTTTACAATTTAGCTTACACATTGCTTAGACAATTTCTTTAGTATTGTTAGAGGTTTGTCTGTTGATTTTTCAATAATTGGGAAAAGAAATCAGCGGTTTCCAACCTTTATGCTACATCTCACTAAAAAGAATTTTTTCCCTCCCTATCTTTTAATAGATATAATAATATAGATACGTTTTAACAGTGGAACTACCAAATGGGTAAAAATAACCTATTCCTAGAGTCTTCTGCGAGTATTGAAAAGGAACAGATGCTTCTTAGGGAAATGGATAATGAAATTGATTTAAAAATATGCAAACTATAAATCCATTGAAATCTCAATAGACAATTAATGGAATTAAATAGACAGTTAGAGTTACAGGAAAATTAAAAAATCTAATTGAATTACTAGGTAGTTCCAGTGTTAGATAACTCGATTACAAAATGAACATAACTTCACTGAATTTCTACTATTACGTTACGGAGTTTATTTCTAGATATTATGCCATGAACGTTAATTTTTTATTCAAAATTTTGACCCCCCCCCCCGGGAGCCGCTCCTCCCAGGTTGGAAACCGTAGTTTTAAGGCACGCTGTGATCGCGTAGCGAGGAAAACAAAAAGGAAATGTCCAGGCTATAATTAGCGGCAGGCGATTGGACACGTTTGGCAGTGACCGAACATCGCTAGGCGTGCAACTTGACCGTTCCTCCGCTTCCTGCTTCATTTGCCAACGAGGAAGATTGCGCCGTTCATGGCAGGGGATGATTAATGCAGGTAAACGTGACCACCGAACGATCATCGTTACAATTTCCGTGGACAAGTTCGTTAGACGAATCCTCCTGCCACCGAGATTTAGGTTAACACGTTAAGCGCCACGAAAATCTTGACCATTTTATTCTACAGTTTCCATTGTACCAAGAAAAATCAGGTACAACGATTAATTATTCACCGTTACCTTCCGTGTATTACACTATTATCAGCTCAGTTATTACATTTTCATCCATCTTGCATGTTACAATTGTTTCCAAGCAACTCAGAAGCGTCAGTCACCAAAGACTGACATGGCGTTTAACACGTTGACTGCCACAAAAACCTTCAGAGTTTTGTGTCTCTCTTTGTGTAGCAAAGATAGAGGAACAGTTACTTATTATTTGGTACCGGAATGCTTACATTACACTATTCCATTCGACATTAGTTATCTGACAAGTTGTAATTATTATCAAGTAATTTGTAAGGTCCGATCACCGGTGACCGACGTGGCAGTCGACGCGTTAACGTGTTAAGCGCTGGAAGGGCTTGCCCTCAAGCTATACGGATTTTTCAGGTGACCACTGCAGCAGACCAGAATCGTTTCTTGACACGTAGATTTGCGGAGCAGCCAAAAGCAATAAGTGTCGAGGATTAAATTGTGAGTTTCTGAAACCTTGGAAATGTATTCCAAGTTCTATGTAAGATTAGGTACCGGTGGCAAGGACCAGGTTCAGACAACACTCACCCAGATGCAGATGGGCTCGTCGAGCATGCATTCTAGTAGCTCCTTCAAGTGCATCCCCAGGTTCCTCGGGTCGGATTCGAAGTCGCTGGCAATGACATTGTCGCCTGGCTCCACGTATGTGTGATTGCTCTTCCATGCTGGGTCCTTGATGATCTGGCCAGCGTAGTAGACGGAGAAGGACAGAACGGCGAAGCTGATCGCCGTGTACACCCGAAGATTCGGGATCGGAAGTCTGTCTAAGAATTCCATCGGCTCGCGGATTTTGTTTCTCTTCTTCCTGAAGGCACAAGTGTCACCCTCTTATTTACTTTCTTTCGCCGCAGAGCGAGGGGAGCTGGAACGGCCAAACTTGATAGCCTTCGAGCTCCCCTTTCGCTTTGAATCGTCGAATCAGTTTGTAAATTCATCAGTGTACACTCATTTAGCACCTCTGTTGTTTCAGTGGGACGCGAGCGGTAGGATTCTCTTAAGTCGCCTTGCAAATTGGAGGGAATTTTTCAAAATCCTGGCAATTATTTGCTTGGCTTATTTAGAGCTTTGGTAATAATGGTTGAGAATGGACAAAGAAATTGTTCATGCAACGAGCCAATTAAAACTGCCCCGTGAATATTGATGACTTTCTTAAGCTTTGAATTTTAAATTTTCTTAAGTCTTGAATTTTGAATTTTCTTAAGTTTTGAATTTTTAATTTTTTTATGTCTTGAATTTTTAATTCGCTTAAGTCCCCTTGAAAACTGACAAAGGAAATTTTTGAGAATACTAACAATTATTTACTAGACTTATTCAGATTTTTATAACGATGGTTGACAGTGGACAAAGAAACTGTTCACGCAACGAATCAATTAAAATTGTCCTG